TATCGCCTCCAGAATCGGAAGAATCATCTGAACTTGAATCAGAATCAGAACTATCGTTAGATGAGGTATTGGAAGAAGAATCTAAATCTGAATCTGGTTCTATAGCGAGATTAACCTTACCCTTTTTAGACTTCTTACTTTTCTTTTTCTTCTTTACAGAGCACTTACGAGAAGTGTGTCCAAATCTACCGCACTTAGAACATTTCTTAATGGCACTTTTAACGGCGGATTTGATAGCATTTATTGTAGCACTATTTAGTGTCATGCCAGCCATACTGTCAGTAATATCATCCACAGGATCATAATTATAATCATCGCTAGGGCTACGCTACCTTTCCCTCTTAATAGTTCACTTAAAAATCGTCTAATAATAAGGTCTTTCCTCTCTTATTGGCCGATTTTTTACTATTATCTAGAATCTTAGTTGCTCGAGACATAGTCTCTTGAAAGGATTTAGCTATGGCTTCTTGTAAATCAGCCTTAGTGATATTTTCCTGACCAGAAGAAGATACCGGTGATAGATTTGGCACCGATTGTTGTAACGCCTGAATCCTACTATTTACAATTTTATCAATATCTTCTGTAGTAATATTCTGGTGGGCAGGCGCTTTTGGTTTTGTCTTGGTAATTGGCTGGTTATAAATATCCTCACCCAGAAGCAAATTATTCCTTTCTGTTTCAATCTCTTCCAGTGTCTCAATCAATTCATCATTTAAAGGTCTGTTTAAACCCAGTCGTTTCATTTCCAACTTGTTTTCAGGAGTCAAGCCACGTATAAATTGTATTCTTTTTTCACGATCAGATATTCGAGCCCAGCTAGCATATTTATTTATCTTTCTATAGTAATTTCTAACTGAATCAGATCCTTGAGTCAAAGTGCCAAAGATCAATTCCTGTTGCTCTCAAACAACTGTAGGATAATTCCTTTTAAACCAATAGATGACCTGACTAATATTGATATCAGGAAGGACTATATGATTGTTATTATTTAAAGCTCCATTCGGGCATTGGTTGCTGTACCAGCATCGACAGGACACCCATCAGCAAGAGACCAATCTTCATCTGCGTGAACATTATGTGCTGAGATAACTGTAGCGCCAGTAGCTCCAGCTGGCAATCCTGGTGGTGGAGTACCATCAGGCGCATTAATCATGGCGGCCGTTATGTTAGCATTATTTAGGGCCACTACAACGGCCATATTTGCTAAAGCATTCCCACATCTTACATGATTCAATCGCCATTTTTTACCTTTAAGCTTATCTTCAGCCCAAAGTGATGCCTCATCTGTCAAGCAGGACCAGAATAGCTCTAAAGCTCTATGTTTACCACCTGCATTAGCAGTAGTGATATTGGCAGCCGTAAGATAGAGTCTGTAATCTTTTATGAATTCATCTATATCTTCATCCGCTCTACCTGAGAATCTTTTTGGTGCATATCCTGCCATCCTTAAATGTGAAAGATTATTTTGTAATGCGAATATTTGTCCTTGCAAATTTAAATTATTCTGGCGTTCTGCTTGGGTCTTATTTTTCCATTTCTCATATCGCTCATATAACCTGTCTAAATTAAATTCTAAAAGACCTATATCCCCTCTACTTAGCTGTAAGTGGTGGGCATTT